TAACTCCATGCCGCAGTCTTCAAGTTCTTCAGACATCTTTTGTGACAGAACATCTAAAACTTTAAAGTTGCAGAAAGTGTCAACAAAACTTTGCCTTTGACTACAGAAGCACGAAATCCAATAATGCATACACCCCAGCTTTCTTTCGTAAAGGAAAACGTAGCTTCTGTAATCATAAACTGAGTTTGTTGGAACTTTCAGCAACTTCGGGGTTTTATGTTCTGCGACAAAAGTTGTCTGAAGAACAAGATTGTGTCTCACTGCTGCTTGGAGTTAAGGAGAAAAGTGTAAATCAAGCAATTTACATGTTCAATAGAAATTTTTGCAGAGACAAGATCACTGACATATCATTGTTGCCACCATGTTAACAGAAATTCCCGCGGAAGTCCAAGAATTGTTCATACGATGAATACGAAGACTTTTAGATTGCAGTGATAAAAGCAATACCTGAAGATTATTACTCAACATAGGGCTACACTGTTAAACACTACAGGACAAATTTGTAGTAGATGAATTGATGCCTTCTTCATACATGAAAATTATGGTAGTTGTCTGGAATAGCTTGTATAGCACACAGAAATAATGAAAAACAACCGGATATTTGTAAGGAAGCTGGAATTTTTTTAAGATTCTGGTGATATTTTCAATTCTTCAAAACAGAAAAGGGCTAATATAAGGGGGAATTGTTACTTACATTTTCAAAAGTGAGTTAGCTTACACCCCTAAAATATGTTGTTTTGGGTTTAAAAAGTCAACAGCAGTTATTACATTCATATTTTGTAAATTAAACAAATTTATCTAGGGTATTGAAGCTGCTGTTAAATTGTTATTTAATTTTGGCCGCCATTTTAAAAAGCGCCCTCAATTGCCTCCCGAAATCTTCACATTAATAACTTTAGCTAGTTATACTTTACTCCTATCATTACATATTCAAAAGTTGGTCAAACCTACCTCTTCTGTGCTTATTTTACCCATATATATGTAGTTTATTGGATTTTGGCGGCCATTTTGAAAATAAGCGCCCTCACGCGAAAGTTCTCAGGTTACACCCTTTTTACCTCACATATTCTGATTCCCCATAAAAAACTGGTCTAGAAAAACCACATGATAATTTCTACCTCTCCAAGTGGCACCTATCTCAATTATAGCCTTGTCTATAAGAATCACTTTTTAGCTTCTAGGGAGGTGTACAAAAATGCCATTTGATGCATGAGTATTGAAACGTAGACATTCCGGTGTAATAATAATAATAATAATAATAATAGGCCTAATAATAATAACAGAAATAAATCACAACAGAAATATGATATTTCAACAAATAAGAGATCAAAAATATGAAAACATTATAAATAGTGGTTACAACATTTTTGGTTATATTACTCATTTAGAAATTGAAACTGTATTACTTGGATCTAACTGTAATACTCGGCTACTTCCTTCACGATTAACTTAACTTATGATGCTACTGTGATAGTTCGTAGAGGACATAGAGCCACAGCAATGAACACATCTCAAATTTTACTGGCTCCTGTAATAAAAATGTTACTTTTAATTGCCATCATTATTTTCTTTGGATCCGGAAGAGGCGAAGAATATCTGAAGAAACAAAAGAACCACACTTTTGTTGTAGGAGGACTATTCTGTCCTTATGAGCACTCGGAGGTAATCAATTCATCATGGATATATGGAGAACCATTTGAAAGATGCAAAGATTTTCACATTGCATTCTTTTTATCCTCTGCTGCAGCGCGATTTGCTGTTGAAGAAATCAACAGTAGCTCGAACCTTTCAACTGAGATTATTTATGTCGAAAGACAGTATTGCAGTTCTCCAGTAGCCAGTGCGGAACGAATGCTCAACCTTACGAATAGTGCAAATCCCAAGGTGATAGTGGTAGGTGCGACTTCAGAAAACTTTATTCGAATCGGACATCTATCATCTCTTTATAATATACCGACGATTGCTGCGTACTCCACCAGCGATACGTTTTTTAAGCAGAAGAAAGACTACCGCACTACTTTTCGCACTATACCTAGCGACCGTCACCAGATTAAAGCTTTGGTGGAATTGTCTTCGTATTTTGACTGGAAATGGATCGGAATTGTGGCAGTTGATGACGATTATGGTCAAAATGGCCTCCGGGGAATCGTGGAAGAAGCCCGATACCGAAATATATGTGTTGCCTTCCACGTTTACATACAAACAAATAGGTATAACTATAGTGAAAATGTTGAGCGGTTTTTTAAAATAATGAACCACACAAACAATATAGAAGTAGTATACTTCTATACATCATCCGTTATAAATCTCCACGAATTTTTCAGCATAGCAGATGAGCTTAGGATCAGACGTAAGTTATAATACATTGAATACAATTTCCTTTGTGAAGGCTTATCTGTCTGTACTTTTTTTTAAATTATAAAAACTAAAAAGTGATGTCATGACAATGTAGAACAGTTTAAAGTTTTTTTTGTTATTTATCCTGTCAGTTATTTGTTAGTCTTTTGAAAGTATAAATATTAGGAACAGTTGTTGCAAAATGTTTTATATTGTTTAGGTTATTCAAGATTTCTGCCCCATGATAGGAAAAGCTCCTTTTTATATTCTGTCTTTGGTTTATGTAAGTTTATGTTGTCATTTGACATTGTTTCATATATGTTCACGTCCATGAAACCGGTTTCTTAAGTAGGATGGTGCTAAATTGTTCATTATGTTATACATTGTTAATGTTTCATTGATACACTGTTTTTTTTTCTAAATGCGGTCAATTTAAGTCCCTTAGGTGCCCGTGAACTGCAATCATACCTGGAATTTGGCGTTATTATTTTGCTGCTCTATGTAGTACTTGGAGTTTATTTCTAAATGTTTGGTTACGACTCCATACAACATTGCAATAGTCAAAATGGTGGGATACGACAGATTTATATTATTGTTTGGATATTTTGGGGGGAAATTTCACTGCATTTTTTGAGGTAGTAGATTCCAGATAGTACTTTATTCTTTACATGATCAATTTGTTTATGCCACTTTAAATTGTCATCAATGATAACACCTAAATGCTTACATTGATTGTATTTTTGTAGTTTTGAACCATCTATATTCAAGTTAGACAGCTTATTTAATTTTTGAGAAGTATCATAAAATTTTAGTTTTTTTTTTAAACATTTTAGCTTAATTTGTTACTTGCTATCATAATTTCACATTGTTAATATCATCATTTAATTTGTTTATTGCATCGTTTATGTTTTTTGCAGCATAATATAAGGCAGTATCATCAACATACATACTTATACTTGCATTAAAAACAGATTTTGGTAAATCATTATCATAATGAATAAAAATAAGTGGTCCGAGTATTGATCATTGTGGTCATAAGGACTATTGCATTGTAAGGGTTGACATTATTGATATTAGTAGTGTGTATACCATTATTTAAATAATTAAAAAACCAATTAATAAGTTGATTATCAAAATCAAAAGTAAATAATTAGTAGTTTTAGAATCTTTAATGTGTAATTGTTCAGTGAAATATTCCTGTTTAAATTTCTTGATTTCATGATTTACTTAATTATTTAATTTTCTGTATTCATTTCATAATTGGGGAATATTTTCTTTACTAGCTCTTTTTTTTTAGTATTAAATTTGCTGTAAGCCAAAGACTATTTTTATTTCTAACACGTTTATTTTTTAGCTCTGCATATTTATGAACAATTTCTAAAATCTTGTCTACAAAAATTGTAGATCATCATTAACATTTGTAAAGGACTTATGTACATTTTCCATTAAAACCAAATTTCACATTAATGATGGTTGGGGCATTTTTTAAAAAATATTTATAATTTTTGATATAGAGATTAAAAATGGTCTGAACAAGCCCAAGTTGCACAACGATGGTTCCTGTAACATATGAAAGTAAATATTTTTTTTAGGTTGAAAGTCAAAATTCATGAAAGGAAAATTATTTTCCGAAATGTTTAATTTTTGCCCAAATCTCTCACACGAATTTATTAAAATGACATTGTCAATAAGGTTTTAATATAATATATCTTTAAAATTTTAAGGTTCAAAGATCATTGATAAAATGTCAAATTTCTAAATGATCCAGAAAAGTCAAGATTTGAAAAGAATAATTAATTTTAAATATTTTAGAGGTTCAGGGTCAAATTAAATTTTAAAAAAAAGATTTTAAGTTCTAAGATATTCAAATTAAGCCAACATTTTACATGAATTAAGCCTCGCTACATTGCAAATATGCTTTAATATTATGAGCTGATTAAGGGGAAAAATTCACTGCCTGTGAGTAGGCATTACGCTTAAAAAGAAAGCACCGTAAATATTCGTAGTATAATATATGTCATATATATCCTTATAAAAAACGTCAACCGCCTATTATTTTTCCTCGACATTTACCATATATTATGTGAACTTCGACCTTTGACTTATATATTCACAATCAAAAGTATGTATTTACAATGTCACTGACAATTTAAAAAATCTCTCTCCGTGGTAATCGCTCTCTCGGTTGTTGACTTAATTAATGCTGTGGATTAGGCCTATAGTTTTGGTTATACTTCCAAATCTGCTTTATAGCTATGTGGAACATAGGCCTTTACACCATGCTGACCACGACTAGAGGTTGGTGAGTTTGTCGATGTTGTTGGATATATCCTACCGAGTAGCTGATCCGCCTTTGGTGGCATTATTTTATTCCACCAGGGGAAACTGCCGTTAACTATTTAGTAGGAAGGAAAATGTTTGGTGAGCACAAGGCATATCCACACGCCGGTGGGTCATGCGTATTCTACTGTGGGCAAGATCCCAGTTACCATGAGTCTAGGAGTGGTGCCAGGAATTTCCGAAAGGGTAATCCGATGTCCCCGGGAACTTGGAGGGGGGATATCCTCGATGTCGTAAGTGGAGGGGATGGGGAAGGGGGTAGTGTCACTTAAAATCCCTCGGCAGTGGTCAAGGGTGTGGACCGCCGGAAACTAAGGTAATAGAATATAATTTTCTCACTGTTCCATTAATCCAGCACTGTTGTAAATAATGACACAACTAGCACAATTTTTAGATAATCCCTTACTAACACTGTATTCGATAACTTGGACAGTCAGATAATCTTGTTAATCAGTTGAACTCCATTTCATGTCCACTGGGTGGTTTTTAACACTTTAATATTAATAAATTTAATGACAAATTTGAAAAATCATATAATGACAAACTCTCACTTTTTCATTTAAATATTAGAAGTTTATCAAACAAAAGATTCTTACTTCACTTTTTATATTCACTAAATTTGAACTTTTCCATGGTCTATCCGAGACGTGGTTAAATAATACTACACAGAATCCATTCTTAATAAATTATTCGTTTTTCGTGCAAAATAGAAAATCTGTAATTAAAAATAATTGTTAAAAAATAATCGTAATTTTAAAATCTGATATGATTTATCGCTTTCTCTCCCATATGAATAGGCTTATTAATTATTATTCATAAGAAAAATACTATAGTTGGGAAACCTGAGGAGAAAACTAAACACTTCACTGATGAAATTAATTTGATTTTAAACAACATTACCTCCAAATAAAATAAAAAATGCCATTAAACAGGGTGACATAAATATTGAATTTAACACAACAGCATAGTTCCATAAATAATTATATTTACCTACTATTTTTTCTTTTCTTTTATCCAACAATTCCTAAACCAACTAGGATTACACTTACTTCGGTAACTCTTACTGATTATATTAATACAAACATAATTAATCACAGAATTTACTCTGGTGTTTTAATTTTTAATGTATCAGATCATCTGCCTATTTCCATAATGACAGATGACAACAATTAGCTAAATCAAAATGTAGTTGACGACGTTAATTGGTATATTTCATTAGAGATACCGTAAATGCTCGAATAAGCGCCGAGCGCTTATAACATTTTTGGAAATTCAGTGCGGCGCTAATTCGAGAGTGGCGCTTATTTGAGAGTTGCACTTATAAAAAAAAGACCTATTGGCGTGGCGCTTTCAATGCCGCTTCCCATGTTACCTATTTCACGTATCCCAGTAGTTCAGGAGGCCTCTATTCTTCTATCATCGTAAACAAACTAAGGAAATGATTGTGTCTTCATTGTATTATTTATTCATTTTGACACTGTATACATTGAATTAAAACCCTTTTTCATTACACAAAGTGTAGTATTATCTTTCTTAGCGGCGCTTGAAAAAAAATCATGTTTGCTGCTGCGCTTATACGAGCATTTAATAGTGATATAATTGAGAAAATTGTTCAAATGTATATCAGTCCAACCCTTTATCTACTTTTTATTTTTATTTCTATATTTTTATTTATCCCTTAATAAATTTTATAAAATTTATAATAAGCATCTTGTAAACAAATACCTCAAACTGAAACATACAACCTATCATACCAACATCCAACAATCTTGATGACCACCTTATCAAAAGTAGCAAAAACTTTATAATAAGTTTATTAAATCACAAAGTGTCCAACATAAAGAAAAATTCATAAGCTATAAAAATCTTTATATTAAACTCTGTCGAACTGCTAAAATGAGATTTTTTAAAACCAAATTTTATCGTAATAAAGGAAGCCTTAAAAAAGATATGGAACGTAATAAACTCAGATTTAAATCCTGGGAAATACACCAAACATTTGCCACATTAATTAACGATGGTTCTGAAATATTAAAATCCCCCCACCCAAAATGTGATTCATTTAACAATTATTACTCTCAGATTCATACTACCTTGTCTTACTCCTGCCATGCCATATTCCAACATTGGCCCGATCACATCATATTTAACAACACCACTCGTAGCTTCCTTATTTATTTACCCTGTTAGTGACGAAGAGGTAATCACAATTATACATATAAGTTCTATCCCAATAAACGATCTGGATGAGATAATGTTTCATTTTTAACAATTAAACAAGTTGCCCTTTACCTCATAAATCAATTAACATTTTGTAAAAACTGCTATTTTACTTCAGATCACTTTCCGAATAATTTAAAAATAGCAAAAGTTATACTTTTATATGTTGGATTGGATTGGATTGAATATAATAAAAGGTTATAAAGAAATATATATATATATATATATATATAAAACAGTATTATTATTATTACTATTATTATTATATCCAAACTCTTTTCAACTTACACTAAATCTCACAAGTAAATTTTAAGTAGTCTCTGCAAACCATAGCATCTTGTTATGTCATTTGTTCGACTTAAAGTTTCAGAATATTGTGAAATGGACTTGATGACTACTTCAAAAGCTTTAAATCTCCTAAATCTTCTCGATTAATCTTCAAAAATAATTTTATTTCATTATACAATGATTAGGTCTTTGTATGATGTACTGTTACTATTCTCTTTGTTTCTGTATTTTGTCATATGATTTATTAGGTAATTTGTTTACTTAATCGTGTATCTTTTTTATTTTTATTATCGTAATTGTTTTCCTCTGGGTCTTACATGCAACAAGAAGATGTTTTCTTATAGTGTAGATCCTCAATATTGGTATAAACGTTTTTCTCATGAAATAATTTACAATATTGTTATGTTAATTACGACTACCATATTGGTATGGCAGTGGTCGCTCCAAGTGGTCACTAGGAGGTAGTGTCGTAATTAGTCATTAATGATTCGTCATTCGTTCATAATCATCATCATCTGTGAATCATCATTGTATCATTATCATTATTAGGATATTATTATTATTATTATTATTACAATTTGTAACTTTTTGCTACATTCCATGTTTTTTTTTTATTTATTCCATCTAGCCTGTGTGTGGATTGCATCGGAGGGTTGGGCGGATCGAGCTGCTGAGTTCTATAAATACAATGTAGTTGCTTCTATAATAGGAGTTGACGTTAAAAATCACCGTATACATAGACTGCTTAGGTATAAATCTGTATGCGATGCCGTTGAACGAAATAACTCCACATTATCTAGTCATGATTTTCAGGAATGGTTATGCAAAGAAATACTAAAGCTGAACGAGTCTTGTGATTTGTGTTCACAAAAATATGTGAATGAGCTTAGTAATTTTGATATAAATGAATGGTTAGAACCTAAAATGGACTACGTCACATATACTACATATTTAGCTATACAGGCAATCGCTAGAGCATTGCAAGATGTTGAATCTTGCACAAAAAACATTTCCATATTAGAAGATGGCTGTCCAAAAATTAACGAGCTATACCCGTGGCAATTAATGGGCTATCTTCAGAATGCAAATTTCACTGACAATAATGGAAGTTTCTATCAATTTACTGAGAACTGTGACGTCAGACCCTCTTATATATATCGAAATACCCATATAAATAATGAAGGAGAAACTGAAGATGTTACTGTAGGCTTCTACAAAACTAATAGCAGTGGTGAACCTATTTTTTATATCAACGGCACCGCAATAAGGTGGAATCGTACTGGCGGAAAGGTATGACATTGATATTTACTTTTTAAAATTGGGCATAACTATTTTCTATTATTATTATTTTAATTATTATTTTAACAATATACAATGATTTTCTTTTGACATTTTTTTATTTTTCAAAAAACTGTATTCCAGCTTGTATATTTTACAGTTAACAATCATTTTATCAATAAATCATCATTTATCAAATAAAATATAATGTACATTTTCCGGAAAAAACATAACGTTAGCAAGAGCCTGAAATCACATACATGCAATTATTGATGATAATGATAATGTTGTAAACGATGATGACGAGCTCAATTTTAGTAAATGAATTTGACGGCAACATGTTTTCTGTTCTCTTCATTTTCTCTACATGTACTGTTTTTACCCTTTGTTGCTTTTCCCGAACATACTCTCATTGGCGCACTGGGACATAATAATGCAGTTGGATTTATATCGCTTTCTCAAAATGTTCGAGGCGTGGTACTGTAGCTCGGACAGTACAGTATAACTTCCTTTTTTCCTTGATAAAGGTTGAGCTCCCCGGTAAACCGGTGACAGCTACGAACTTTGACAGGATTGGACTTTGTTGTTGTTATTGTTGATATTGGTGATGATGTTAGTTATGATAATTATGATTTTTTTTAAAATTAAAATGATGATGATAAATTCATAATCATGAATCAGTAATTAATAATCTATAATGCTGATTAAGTAATGTCGATTGTTTTTATAATTATTTGTGTCATTATTTAAAAAAAATAGGTACCGAAGGGACGCTGTAGTCCAGATTGTCCACCTGGAGGCAGGACGAGATATGCCGGTGGACAAACGTGCTGTTTTATATGTCTCCGGTGTCCTCCTAAGACCAAATCTACAAAAATTAGTAGGTTTTATTATTCTTAAGCTAATGATGCTAATACAATGTATTAAATTACTCAAATTTATATTTACGAAATTGTTATAAAATTGCATAAATTGTTTTAATTTCTATTTTTTTAGATTCGTCGGAATGTGTTGATTGCTCACATGAAACATACTCAAACGATGCGAACACGCAATGTTTGCCAAAGGTTCCGGATATCTTTGACTACAATAGCAACACTGCCGTAGCCTTAAGTGTACTCTGCATCTTTGGTAGTACAGCATCGGTGGCGTCGGGACTGATGTTTTACTGGAAAAGAGACACACCGTTGGTAATGGCTTCTAGTAAAACACATAGCTACGCTATAGCAGCTGCACTTGCTCTTGGTTTTCAGACCGTGTTTTTTTACATTGGTTACCCTACTGACATAAGTTGTAAACTGAAATCTATTGTTGCAGGGCTTCATGTAACATTTATTATCAGTGTTTTCTGTGCTAAACTTTACATAATTCGCAAATTGTTCAATGCAAATGTAATAATTTCATCTAAGACCTGGTTCTATAAATCATGGTTCGCCGTTTTTATTCTGACATGCTTGCATTTTATTTACAACATTTTCTATGAGTCCCTAGACCCTAGTGAGGTTGATAAAGATTTTTCATACATTCGTATATTGCCAGTATTTTGTAAAACCTCTGATACCAAATTCTTAACAGTAAGCATATTTCAAGTAATTTTGTCAACAGTTTGCAGTATCTTCTCGTTTCGAGCAAGATTGTTGCCGAAGCGATTCCAAGACACTCGCCTACTCTGGTTTATTATGTTTACGATGTGCATTCTGTTGTGTGTCTCTACTTCTGCCCATTTTCTGCCAGGTTCTGGTACTCGAACACAAACTATTGATGCCACCTTTATCTTACTTCTGAATTATTTGCTATTGGTGATGTACTATATCCCCAAACTGTACATAATTTTCTTCGAACCTATCAGAAATACCAGGCCTATTTTTATGAACAGATTTTATGACAGAAAATCAATCAAACAAAACTAAAATACATTGATAGCATCACTGGAAGTATGAATTTGTTTTTGAGTTTAAGGCAAATTTGCATTAATTTCAGCTAAATCACACTTTGTTTATATTTAAAATCATATAAATATTGTAGTTAGAAATAGTTAACAATTTTCAGTATTATATAAAATGATACCTGTCTAATAATAAGTCTACTACAGGTGAAAAATCAAATATTAATATTCACAACATCAATACCGTATTATAGCTATTGATTCAGAAGGACTTCAGTAAATACACAGATTATATTACCAGATCATTACATTTTATTACTATTGTGAAATCACTTATATATTGGGCCTATAGAAAAAAAAAGTATCTCCAGCGATTGTGCCTTGTCGTCAAATGCTTATAAGAAGAGGGTGTATCATATGGATCCTTGTTAATTAATTAAATAAATAGCTTTGGAATTCAAGCAAAGCCTCATTGACCAAATTAGTTAAATCCTCTGCATAGACAGTAATAGTAATATAGTAATAGAAATGATATAATGGTAAATAAAAAGAGCACTTAATAAAATTACAAGAAATGTGTCATATAGTGACGGCTATGATCAAAATAATAGAAGTAATAATATAATAAAATTAATAATAACAATAATAAAAATAATAATGGCGGCAATTTTAATACATAGTAATAGAAATGATATAATAGTAAATCATGATATATATATATATATAAATATATACATGTATATATATGTATATATATACTTATATACTTATATATATACGATAGTTAAGTCGAAAGCAAGTCGGCATACTATAAAGGATTAATGATAGGCCTATATATACAGATAAACAGTGATAAGAGAGAACAATGAATGACCAAGTGGTGGACTGTATGAAAGCATTACTATAGTTAATGCATGGGGGAATTAATTCATCCATTATTAAAAGATTGGCTAAACATAGGGTATAACTAAAAACATGAAGAACAGGAAGCGGCTACAAAAAAATAATTAAAATTATAGTAAGTATAATTATAAATTTAATAAATGTGGGCCTATAAACACATCTTAATGCTGATTAAGTAATGTCGATTGTTTTTATAATTATTTGTGTCATTATTTAAAAAAAATAGGTACCGAAGGTGTTACAGTACCGTATATCACATTGTTTTTCAATACCGGTACAGTTTGCAATTTAGCGTTCGCTATATTAGTCAAATGGTAAAATTTCAATATGCCACCTATCCTGCATTTTATTGAGAAAGAAATTACGTAAAATCAAGAATTGAATCCTGTAATTAATAACTTGCAAGCCACATCTTTGATGTTTGTTTTACCAGTAATAAATATTATTCCGTCATTAAATTTTAATCTGAATATGTCATATTTTTAAAATTTCAATTCACATTCAACAGTGGGGTGTCCGCCATTTACAGAATAGTGTACATAGAACACAAGGCGGAAAACATTTACTCAAAACATTTCTTAATTTAATATTTAAAAATACGCAAACTATTAAAGTATATGTCAATGGTAGAGCCTAAATATATAAATGAGTTGAATATTACATCAATGGATATGACGGTGCCTTAAAATACCCATATATGAGTAATTCAAAAGTATTTGTCACAGTAATAATATCGATAGCCTTAAATAAGCCCTTTGATGATATTATTATAGTCACATATCTAAACTAATTCCTCCATGTTAACATCGGGCATCCGCTTAATGGTGACGACCAATGAAGCATTTCCATCATATCCTGCCTTCTTTAAAGAGGAATTAATGGGAAAAAAAATCTTCCATGTCGTACGAGTACTGGCCGACGAATCCAACTTTGCACCCTGTGAGAAACGACGTGACGGTGTCTGCTGACTGTCGGTGGCAATTGACGGATCGTCATTATAAACGATCCCTTGCGTGCCATCAGTATAAATTATTCGATCTTCTTCATCACTTAGGCTGTAGTTTCGCCGTCATCATTATAAACCATCATCACCTTCAATATCACAATGATCATTATCAGTTATTACCATAATTATTTGTTTCATTATTATCATCATCATCCTCATTCATCTAACTATCGTATTCAGCACTATCATCATCCTCATCATCATCATCGTCGTCTAGTCTGAGACACCATCTTAAATATATTGCAGAAACAAAGGTGTAGTGGTCACGGGTATTAAACAGTTTAATATGCAACATTACATGTCACAAGGCAGTGCAAGATCCACTTCTAGTGTAGCATTATAGTTGAGATAGTATACCTGTATCACCCAATAATGTAACAATGAATCACTGATGTAACAACAATCAACCACTGTTGTAACAAAAATCAACCACGGTTGTAACATTCAGTTACCACTATTTTAACAATGATTTAATCATTGTTGTAGCAAAATTCATCAACCACTATTGTAAAAATGATTTCATCACTGATGTAACAAAGTACAATATAGTCTCCAAGCCGAAAACCTGATAATATTATAATAAAACATAATTCTAAAATGGAAAAATCTTGTATATCACCATATTGGTGTTTTTCCCAAGGCCGTTTTTGCAAGAAGATACAAAGAAAATGAAGAAAGTTTAAATATCAAAAATCAAATTAAAATACATACCTTACAACGAAAAGTAAAATTTAAAATTATAAAAACTAAAAAGTGATGTCATGACAATGTAGAACAGTTTAAAGTTGTTTTGATATTTAATCGAGGTCAGTTATTTGTTAGTCTTTTAAAAGTATAAATATTAGGATTAGTTGTTGCAAAATGTTTTATATTGTTTAGGTTATTTCAGATTTCTGCCCCATGATAGGAAAAGCTTCTTTTTTATATTCAGTCTTTGGTTTATGTAAGTGTAAGATGTCATTTGACCTTGTTTCATATATATGTTCACGTTCATGAAACCGGTTTCCTAAGTAGAATGGGTCTATTTTTTCATTATGTTATACATTGTTAATGTTTCATTGATATACTTTTTTTTATTTAAATGCGACCAATTTAAATTTCTTGGTGCCTGTGAACTGGAATCATACTTGGACTTTCGCGTTATTATTTTTGCTGCTCGATGTAGTACTTGGAGTTTATTTCTAAATGTTTGGTTACGCCTCCATACAACATTGCAATAGTCAAAATGGTGGGATACGATAGATTTATATTATTGTTTGGATATTTCGGGGGAAAATGTTTTTGTGGTAGTATCTTCCAGATAGTACTTTATTCTTTACATGATCAATTTGTTTATGCCACTTTAAATTGTCATCAATGATATCACCTAAATGCTTACATTGATTAAATTTTTGTCGTTTTGAACCATCTATATTAAGGTTTAGATTCATTTTAGTCAGCTTATTTAATTTTTGAGAAGTATCAATAAAATTTCAGATTTTTTCTCTTAACATTTAAGCTTAATTGTTACTTGCTCTTTTGCAGCATAATATAAGGCAGTATCATCATCATACATACTTATACTTGCAATTAAAAACAGATTTTGGTAAATCATTAACATAAAGAATAAAAATAAGTGTTCCGAGTATTGATTTTTGTGGTCATAATGACTAGTGCATTGTAAGAGTTGACATTATTGATATTAGTAGTATGTATACCATTAGTTAAATAATTTTAAAACCAATTAATAACTTGTTTATCAAAATCAAAAGTAAATAATTAGAAGAATTTAGAATTTTTCAATGTTTAATTGTTCAGTGAAATATTCCTGTTTAAATTTTCTTCTTTTCATGATTTTCTTAATTATTTAATTTTCTGTATTCACAATTGGGGAATATTTTCTTTACTGGCTCTTTTTTTTTGTAGTAGGCCTATTAAATTTGCTGTGAGCCAAAGACTATCTTTATTTCTAACACGTTTATTTTTTAGCTCTGCATATTTATGAACAATTTCTAAAATCTTCAGGGTCAAATTCAATTTAAAAAAAAAAGATTTTAAGTTTTAAGATATTCAAATTAAGCCAACATTTTACAGGAATTAGGCCTCACTACATTGTAAATATGCTTTAATATTATGAGCTAATTTAGGGGAAAAATTCACTGCCTATGAGTAGACATTACGCTTAAGAAGAAAGCATCGGAAATATTTGTAGTATAATACATGTTATATATATCCTGAAAAAACGTCAACCGCCTATTATTTTTCCTCGACTTTTACCATATATTATATGAACTTCGACCGATTTTTTTTTTTTTTAACACTTAGACCGAGGGTTGAGGATCGAAAACGTTCAATTCTGTGACCCACCAATCCGGGCTACCTGGCTTTTGCACAAAAATGTCAATACTGTACTATTAAATTGTAACATAATTTGATTATCGGCATCGTGAATTTGGCGAAACTGTAACCAAAAATGAGAATTTATATCAAAAGTTGCTACGTAACTATAGCCAATCAAAAGACGACTAACAATGATGTTTGGCTTAGCTGCAAGGC